ACCCGCAGCGGGGCCAGCACCGCAACCCCGCCTCTGCTGCCAACTCCCTGCCCAGGTAGGGCGGGCTCCCATATACCATGGTACCCAGCAGCTCTTACTTTATTCTGCAACTTCGCCAAAGCATCGCCCTCGGCCTTGGCATGATGTTCCTGCACCGCGATGCATAAACTCGAGCACGTGGGCAGGAAGTCGACGAGCGGGCCGCCCGAGGACACGTTCACGGTGGTGATACTTGAAACCGACGCCATGGTGCGACAAAGGAGGACGAACCACACAAGACACGCAAAACATCGCCGTGGAGCCATGCTAGGCAGGGGTGAGCCTGGGCCTCTTGACCTTGGCACCCCAACGCATGAAGATCTCCTCCAGCCTGTGCTTCTCGCCCCCAGCCGCAACGACTTCCTCCATGAACTCAGGGTCGTCGGAGAAGGCAGATGGCTGTGGTGTGCGAGGCGCTGCCGCGTCGTCCTGCCGCTCGGCCTGCTCGACGTCGGGACCAGCCTCGGCCCCAGCATCCGCCTGCGCCTTCTGGGCAGCCAACTTTGCCGCCTCCTCCTCCTGCAACCTCTGCAGCTCCTGGAAGCTCGCCGTGAGGCTGCCCGACAGCTGGTGATCGGCGCCCAGGCTCTGGAGCAAGATCCCGAGGCCCTCGAGCGTGGCACCAACCCCCTTGATCGGCTCGTCGAGCGACGCCTTGTCGCCAGGCGTCGGAACCTGCCCTTGAAGCCTCTTGCGCTCCTGGTCCAGCTCCTCCATGCTAGCGTCGAGGGCCGCCAGCTTGTCCCGAGTGAGCCGTTCCTTCTCCTGCAGGTCGCGCAACTGCGCCTGCAGCCCATCGAGCTTGGTCTGCTGGTCGTCGCGCAGCTTCTGCAGCCTGGTGAACTGAGTTCCCATCTCGCGCAAGCGCTGTCCGAGCGGTCGGGACTCCGCCACCCTAGCCCGCAGCTCGGCCTGCTCGGCCAGCAGCTTGTCGCGCGTGGCCACGACCGACGGCTCGGTGATGCCCTTGAGCTTGCCGATGAGGTCGCCGACCTCGCGTAGCCTGTCCTTGGCGACGGACTCGGGGCCGTCTCCGTCCGCGGCCGGCTCCATCTGCACGTCCTCCCCGCCAGGCGGCGGCCTCTGCACAGCGGCAAGCCGCTTGCGGGCCTCGGCGAGCTCGGACTTGAGCTTGGCCACCTTGACGGAGTCGTCCCAGTAGCCGTTGCCGCTGCCGCCCTGATTGCCCTTCTTCCGCTGGGAGGGGGCCGCGGGCTGGCGCACGCTGTGGAAGACCAGTCCCTTGCCCAGCTTGCACTTCGCACACTGCCGCGCCTCTGCATGATTCCACCACGGTCTCCCCGAGGGCCCGCAGCAGCTCTTGCAGTACCAAGGAAGCGCCTGCTCCGAACGGTAATGCGGCGGTGGCATCTCCACGACACCAGGCAGCAGCACACACGGTGGGCCGTGGCAGCGCGATCTGGAAAGGACTGGGTGTGGGCGCCCAACTCCCACGGTGAAGGCGAACGGTGGTCTGGCCGCGGACTAGCGGTATCCGTGCGGTCCCCAGGGGAACCAATCATCTTGAGCCAAAATGGCTACGGAGGAGGAGGAGAGGAAGGAGGAGGAGGAGAGGGAGGAGGTGAGGGATGAGGAGGAGGAGGAGGAGCAGGAGGAGGAGGAGAAGGAGGAGGAGAAGAAGGAGGGGGGGAGTAGGACAAGTGTGAACCCAAGACCCATCAACGATGTTGCAAGAATAGCTCCCTCGAAGCTCCCTCATTATAGGCCCCTGCAACGGTTGCTGCTCACTGAGAGAAAAGCAACGTTGGAAAACAACCGTTCGAAAATCCGGAATTGTTCCGCGGCGCAATTCATGGGACTTCAATGCCACGAATCAACGTTGATTGTTGCGTCTTGATGATCATGAGTATTATCAGAAAACCGTTCTTGGGACTTCTACACCGCGAGTCAACGTGACTGCTGGTCCTTAAAATTCCGACATCGACCCAAAACACAAGTTCTGTGAACCACGAGAACCCTCGAAGCAACGGCAAACACTTAACTCGAATATGCGCGGCGCTAAGGCGAGCGCCACATATTAAAAATAAGCCGCCTCAATTCGTGAAGCTCTTGCAAACTTTGAACACGAATGCGCACGGCGCTGAAGCGAGAACCACATTTTGAAAACGGGCCGCCATGCATCCGTAAACGTCTTGCAAATTTGTAATAAGAATGCGCGCGGCGCTGAAGGGATAACCATCTTTTGAAAGCGACCCGCTCTTCATCTGTGAAGCTCTTGCAAATAAAAGCTTCGTAACCGGTGACGAAGTTTCAAGCGAATCGCCCCGCTCGCCCTTTAGACCAGCCCCAGGGTGCGACAGGGAGGAATTATCTATAAGGAGGAGGGATGGAGGGTGAGGGGGAGGAGAAGGAGGAGGAGGAGGAGGAGGAGGAGGAGGGGGAGGAGGAGGAGGAGGAGGAGGAGGACCAGTGTAAAACCAAGAGCCATCAACGATGTTGGAATTAACCCTCCCTCCAAGCTCCCTCTGCATAGGCCCCCACAACGGTTCATTTCCATTGAGGGAACTGCCTTGTTGGAAGACAACCGATTGGAGATCCTGAAGCATGCCAAAACAATCTTCTCGGGATTCGAACGCCGCGTATCAACCTGACTGCTGCGTCTTGACGATCCAGAATTGTGCCAGAGCGCCATCTTTGGTACATCAACACCGCGAATCAACATAACTGTTGCACCCACATAGTCCTGAATCCTTCCACAACACAATCTCTGGTAGGTTGATCATGGGAATCCGTGACACTCTTGAAAAATGTTGAAATCGAATGTGCGCGGCGCCAACGCGAGAACCGCATTTTGAAAACCACCCGCCCCCAACCCGCGAATCTCTTACAAATTCTTAAATCGAATGTGCGCGGCGCTAAAGCGAGAGCCACATTTTGAAAACCACCCGACCTCAATCCATGAAGCTCTTGTAAATTCTTAAAACAAATGTGCCCGGCGCTAAGGCGAGAGCCATTTTTATATATATATATATATATATATATATATATATATATATATATATATATATATAAAAAAAAAACACCCGCCCTCAATCCGTGAAGCTCCTGCAATTTCTTAAAGCGAATGCGCGCGGCTCTAAGGCGAGAGCCACATGTTGAAAACCACCCGCCCTCCATCTGTGAAACTGTTGTCGCGCTCTAAGCTTCAGAATCATAAATGGTGAGGAAGACTCAGGCGAAACGCCCGGCCCGCCCTGAAAACTGGCCTCGGGGTGCGACAGGGAGGACTTATCTATAAGGAGAAGGAATGGAGGAGGAGGAGGAGGAGGAGGAGGAGGAGGAAGAGCAGGAGGAGGAGGCAGGAGCGGGGTCGCCAGAGTCTGCCCAAGGTGAGCAGCTGGTCCTGGGGAAGGCCACGAAGGGCCCAGGCATCCGACGAGGTTTTTCCCTACCTAGGCTCTGCCTAGAAGGGTTCTTACTTCGTAGCTTAAAGGGCCGGGCAGGTTCCCCCATTATCAGCCCCGCGGTTCCCCCAGTGACATTCCCTTAGCTTCGCGTTGCTTATCTCATCTTAGCTCAGCTTATGTTGTATTACCTTAGCTTAGCTTCATCTTACCTGAGTTTTATCTTAGCTTAGCTTACCTTCATCTTAGCTTCGCTGAGCTTTAGCATAGCAGAGCACAGCACAGCATAGCATAGCGTAGCATAGCATAGCGCAGCATCGCATATCATAGCATGGGTGTAATTCCCTACCTAGGCTCTGCTTAGAGGGTTAGCTTAGCTTAGCTTAACTTAGCATAGCGCAGCGCTGCATTAGCATAACATAGCATCGCATAACATAACCAAGCATAGCATAGCATAGCATAGCATAGCGCAGCTTAGCATAGCATAGCATAGCTAAGCTTAGCACCACCTTCTTCGCCCCGGGCGGTTCCCCCGGCAGTGGAAAACGCCCTGGGCGGTTTCCCCGGCATCCGCTCCGCGGTTCCCCCAGTGACGCTCCCTTAGCTTAGCGTTGCTTATATCATCTTAGCTTATCTGATTTCATCTTAGCTTAGCTTCATCTGAGCTTAGCTTAGCTTAGCTTAGCTTCATATAGATGTTCGATGTTGCTTTACTAGATCCTCCAACTCCTAGGTAGGGTCGCACTGGGATAATTATACCCCACGGCCTCAGAGCTCCAGACCCGTTTTCCCTGGGAACGGCCGTCCTCCCCGAAAGCCATGCTTCGTGGCCTCGGGGCCCGACACCAGCCCCATGAGGCCGACGCCTGCAATAGAAACGCCCAGGCCGCAGCAGAGGAAACACGTTCGTGGTCCAGCCTGGACCACGGGTGTTTCATCTCCAGAGGGCCCGATCCCCTCGGGAGCCCTCCTCCTGCTCCTTCTCCTCCTCCTCCGCACCTCCTCTTTTCCTCCTCCTCATCCTCCTGAGGGGATCGGGAGCCCTCCTCCTCCTGAGGGGCTCGGGCCTCCCTCGGGAGCCCTCCTCCTCCTCCTCCTCCCCCTCCTCCTCCTCCTCCTCCTCCTCATCATCATCATCATCATCATCATCAGCAGCAGCATCAGCATCAGCATCAGCATCGGCAGTATCAGCATCAGCATCATCATCATCATCATCATCATCATCATCATCATCATCATCATCATCATCATCAGCAACATCATCAGCATCATCATCACCGTCACCGCCATCATCAGCATCAGCAACATCATCAGCATCAACATCACCGTAACCGTCATCATCAGCATCAGCATCAGCATCAGCATCAGCATCAGCATCAACAGCAGCATCAGCATCAGCATCATCATCGTCATCATCATCAGCAGCAGCATCATCATCGTCATCCTGAGGCGATCGGGCCTCCCTCGGGAGCTCTCTTCGGGAGGGATCGGGCCCTGAGGGCCCGATCCCCCCAGGAGCCCTTCTCCTCCTGGCCGGCACCCCCGCCCAGCCGAGCGCGGCAGCAGACCCCCGCCAGCGCGGGAGAGCGCGCACGCCTCGTCGACAGGGCCTTGCCTATGCGCAGGGTCTTCTGCAGCGCCCCGGCCGTGGGCGCGAGCCGGTCGGACACCTCGCGGCTCCGCCGCCGCCGCCCTCGGGCTGCGCGCTCTGAGCTGCAACCCGGCGGCCAGTCGATGATCGAAGACCGGCGAGGGCCCCCTCCTCTCCTCCTGCTCCATCCCACCTCCTGCCTCGTCATCGTCCTCGTCATCCATCCTTCTCCTCCTCCTCCTCCTCCTCCTCCTCCTCCTCATCATCATCATCACCATCATCACCACCACCACCACCACCACCACCACCACCACCACCACCACCACCACCACCACCACCACCATCATCATATCATCATCATCATCATCACAATCACCATCACCATCACCATCATCACCATCACCATCACCATCATCATCATCATCATCATCATCATCATCATCATCATCATCATCATCATCATCATCATCCGCCTCCTCCGCTCTCTGTCCTCCCCGTCCTGCCGACGACGACGACCACCACCACCACCATCACCACCACCATAGCGGCCACGGCGGCGGCCACGGCGACGGCGACAGCGACGGCCATGACGACGACGACGACGACGACGACGACGACGACGACGACGACGACGACGACGGCGGCGGCGACGGCGGCGGCGGCGGCGGCGACGACGACGACGACGGCGGCCACGACGACGGCGGCCACGGCGGCGGCGACGGCGGCGACGACGGCGGCCACGGTGGCGGCGACGACGACCTCAACGACGATGACCACGGCGGCGGTGGCGCGGGGCGGTGCCAGGCCTTCCCGAGGAGGCGCGGCGCGGCCTGGCGGGGCGGACGGGGCGGGGCGAGCGCGTCGCGGGTGGTCGGGCCTGGCGCTGTCCGGGCGCGGCCGGGAGCGCCGCGGGGCCACGCATGGGCACAGTCAGCAAGTATAATAATGTCTACTATCGACCAGCGTTGACTCCAAATAGCGAGGCCGGGCGGAGACCCGATATCTCGGCATCTCGATGTCGGGGGCGGGGCCGGGCGGAGACTCAATAACTATTTCGATGTCTCTATATCGGGGGCGGGGCCGGACGGGGACTCGACATCTCGATATCTCAATATCGGGAATCGGGGGCGGGGGCTTGTCCCCGCAATGTCGCCGACATCCACGGGGCTGCTGTCGATTGAAGTGTACATCGCGATATCCAAACATCGCGAAACAGTCACCAACCGCCACGGGTGACTGTTTTTGCACGGGCACCATTTTCAGGCGACGCCTCCTCCTGATTCCTCCTCTTCCTCCTCTTCTTCCTCTTCCTCCTCCTCCTCCTCTTCCTCCTCCTCCTACTACTGCTGACCTGAAAAAAGCACGCCCACCCAAAACAGTTATCAAGAGCCTTTTTCAAGCAACGGCCTTTTTCTCCTCCTCCTCCTCCTCCTCGTCCTCCTCCTCCGCCTCATCCTCCTTCTGCTTTCCCTCCTCCTTCTCATCCTCCTCCTCCTTCCCCTCCTCCTGCTTCTGCTGACATGAAAAAATGACGCCGGCCTAAAACAGTCACCAAACACCTCGGGTGACCGTTTTGGTGCGGACGCCTTTTTCAGGCGACGGCCTCTTCCTCCTTGTCCTCCCCCTCCGCCTCCTCCTCCTCCTCCTCCTCCTCCTCCGCCTCCTCCTCCTCCTCCGCCTCCGCCTCCGCCTCCGCCTCCGCCTCCGCCTCCTCCTCCTCGTCCTCCTCCTCGTCCTCGTCCTCGTCCTCCTCCTCCTTCTCCTCCTCCTCCTCCTGCTTTCTCCTCCTCCTCCTCCTCCTTTCCCGCCTCCTCCTTCTCCTGTTCCTCCTGTTCCTCCTGCTCCTCCTGCTCCTGCTCCTGCTCCTGCTCCTGCTCCTGCTCCTGCTCCTGCTCCTGCTCCAACACCGCTGGCGGACACGCACACTTCCTGCTACAATGCTACAATACCCGCTGCTGCTCACGCCGGCATCACGCGGCCGTAGGCCACCCTGGCCGCGGCGGCGGACGGCGTGCAGCCGAGCGCCAACAAGTCAATGTCGGCGCTCGCGTACTGCACGACGCGCTCGAGGGCGGCGCGCCAGCGCGGCAGCAGGCGTGGCGCGGCCCAGGCGTCCCGGAGGCGGCATCCCGCGTGCGTTGCCAGGAGGTCCAACGAGTGCAGCGTCTCAAACCCGAGGCGGCCGTAGGACTCCACCGCGATGGGCAGCACGTCGCTGCCGTAGCGCGCGCGCTTGTCAACAGCCGCCGCTGATGCCGCCGAGCCAGGGCAGGAGGCGGCGTGCGCGTACCGCTGCGCGTGTGGGCAGCAGATCGACACATCGATGTAGATCGGCTGCACGCTGCCCGGAAAGGTGACATACAAGTCCATGATGGCCTCCTCAATGGAGCCATTCCTTCTCTTCCGGCTCAGCTCAGGCACCGTGCGTTCCATGTCCACCTCCGCCCGGCACGCGCGCAGCAGCCTGGCAACTGCTGCCGCGAGAGCCCTGTGAGGACGCATGCGTGCAGGGCCATGCTTGCACAGCTGTGGATGCCGGAGCGTGGGGTCCAGCAGCTGCCCGCACACCTCCACTCCATCTCCACCTCGGCACGGGATGCGGCACGTCGCTCCTCTGGGGGCCCCCAACGCGCCAAGCCTGCGCAGGGACGCCACGCGGAAGTGGTAAGACGGGAAGAACTCGGCAGGCTCGGCGGGCATCTGCATCCAGAGCGCTCCAGCCCCAGCGCCTCCAGCTGACAGCATGCCTTCGCGCCGCTCGGCGCCCAGCCGGTGCCATAGGCGGGTCGCCGCCAGCGCCTCGAGGTGCCGGAAGATGCGGCTCGCAAAACGCCTCGGCAACCCAGGCGGCCGCTGGCCCGGGGCGGCTGCCTGCAGCGTGGCCTCCGGCAGCTGTCGCAAAGAGCCGAGCTCGTCACTGGCCACGTCCTTCACCCAGGGGCCGCGTCCGTACTCCTCCGCGGCCTGCGGCGCATGCCGAACCCCTCCCTCGAGGTCAACGATGACGCCCTGGGCGGCTAGACGCTGCCGCGCGCCTTCGGCATCGTCGGCACCATCGCAACAAGTGATGTGCAGCCCGATGCTGGCGGCCACGGCTGGCACCCGCGCGCGCATGGATGCCCAAGCCGCCCACAGCGCTGCGTCGGCCATGACGCCCTCCGCCTCGCGGCGCAAGCCCATCCCGCCGAATGTACCCGAGAGCCGCATCTGCATGACAGACTCCTCCGGCAAAGCCTTCCCAAACACAACTTCCTGGATGATCTCCTCTGCGCGGCTGCTCACAGGCTCGGCCACTGCGCCCAGCGCCCCAGAAGGCACTAGACGCGCGTCGAAAGAAAGAGCGTGAGAAACCGACTTGTACATCATGAGCCAGGCAAGGTGCGTGGATGTGATAGCGGGGTGCGCCACCGCGAACTCCCGGATGCGCTCCGCGAAGGCGGTCGCCTTCTGCGCCCGCGCCACGGCCGGCTGCTGCAGAATGCCGGCCCTGCCCACCTGGACCGCGAGCTCGCCGTCCACGGCGCCGCCGAGAATGACGAGGCCGCCGCGCGTCCTCGGCACTGCCGCTGCAAGGCGGCGGACGTGCTGCGGCAGCATGTCATCCGGCACATCGTCGTACAGCGGGGCCCACATCTTGCACTTGGAGGCGCGGGCGCGGTGCCCGCCTTGGGCGAGGCTGGCCTCTACTGCCGGCCATGCGTCTGCAAGCACGCTGGCCTTCGAGAAGATGTAGGCGTCGTCCTGGTAGCCGACGCGGCTGCAGCAGGGCGAAGGCAGTGGCGACCTGGCGTTTGCTTGCGGGAGGGCCTGCAGGGAGTCCTCCAAGCCCATGGCGAACATCACCTGCATGAGGCGGGCGCCCTGCCAGCCGCCTCGCGAGGTCTGCGACTTGCGCCAGCCACCGCCGACGCGCTGCCACAGTATCGAATGCCCCGGTCGCCACTGGGTCGCTGCGAGCGCTGCGATCTCGGGCGCTCGGGAGCGGCAGCCCCGGAGGCAGGAGGAACGGAAAGCACGGCCATAAGCATTTTCAAGGTCGATGGACGCGAGAACGTCCGCGTCCAATTCCTCAGCGCCCTCCCCAACCGGCACCAGGAGCCGGGCCCAGGACCGCGCAATGTTGATGATGAGAAGGGCACCGTCTGGCGTGCCACAGCCCAGCTGATTCGGATCGAGGCTGCGCAACAGCTTGGCCACGTACTCGTCAACGTGCACGCCCTCGACCAACTTAAGCAAGACCTCTGCGCAAGCTATCGGCCTCAGCTTGCGCATCGGGGCGGCGCCGGGCGCAGCCGGGGACCAGCCGCAGTCAACTGGTGTGACACATGCCGCTGTCCACATCACGATGCAATCATCCTGGATGCGACCCTGCTTCCAGAGCTGGGGCCACCGGGCGAGGGCCTGGATGCCGCCCTTCACAGTGCCGATGTCCTTGATGAACGCGTTGCGCCAGCCACTGGGGCCGCATTGCGCCGCATCCCTCAAGGTCCGCAGCTTGCGCCGGATAGTGCGATGCCGAGGTGCAGAAGCATTCTCGGCGCCCTGCAGCGCGAGCCCGCACTCTCGCAATTGTGATTCACGCTCGCTGCTGTCCACCTCCACGGAGACGAGGGCGTCTATGCGGTCGGCCGTTTCCTCCGTCAAGGGCGTCCGGACCGCCCCCATGAGCAGGGCCGTCGCCGCACGGACGGCGCCATTGCTCAACTTGCCTGCGGCCTTGCGGAACACGTCCTCGTCCCGCATGGGCTGACCCGGAAGCTCTGCCTCACGGCCAACGGCGGCTCGCGTATCCTGCTCGCGAGCGGCCCGGAGGTCACCCAAGTAGGCGAGGATGAGATGACTGAAATCGCCCTGCTCCGCATAATGCAAGCGTTCCTTGATCATGGCGCTGTAATTCGGCTTAGCGGCCTGCTCCTGCTCCTCCTCCTCCTTCTCCTGCTCCTCCTCCTCCTCCTCCTCCGCCTCCTCCTCCTCCTCCTCCTCCTCCTCCTCCTCCTGCTCCTGCTCCTGCTCCTGCTCCTGCTCCTGCTCCTGCTCCTGCTCCTGCTCCTGCTCCTCCTCCTCCTCCTCCTCCTCCTC